TATTTGTTTATTCGATCTACTTTTGTTGTTGTTGTTGTTCGGCATTAAGATATAATTTATGAGGGATAAATTATATTTTACCTAAGGTATAATTTATGCAACTGAAATAGGAGGTTAGTTTGTCTGTCAGCGCCATAACGCAAAAAAAGAAACATGAAACTAAACACACTTTTGAAGATTCAAACCTAAATTGTATAATTCTGGAAGTTTCTTAAAAGCAGTACAAAAAGAAAAAATAGATTTTAAACAAGTTCAAACTTTATTTGATCTTACTGTAAATGCCAAGAATAAGGTTATCGTGGAGAAGCCTCCAATGCAAATCGAAAATACTTGTTATCAGCATAAAATAAACAATTTGTTTAAAATGCTTCATCAGATAAATTCTATTATATTTTCTATTTGCGTTTACATTTTAATTGTAACTTGGAATGTGGTCTAAGGCCGGACTTACACCTGCTGTAATATGAAATTAGAGACTCTAAAAAAATATTTAAAATAATTATACCTGATTATAATTAATCATTTATTAATGATTACGAAATTAAATTGGTTTAAAAAATGTCCCTTTAAACTTCATTTAGTGTAAAAGAATAAAAACTAATAACAAAAATATATTTGATAAAATATATTTTTAAAAAAATAGTCCCCGAAGATGTGTGGAACTAAGCTATAGCTTAGTTATCTTATAGTAAAGGTAAATGATGGTAATCTATTTTTTTTAAACTACATCAGAATTGTATTCCACCTTTGTTTCTTTATTGTACTTGTTTCAAGAAAATCTTGTCTGAAAACATTAATGAATTTCCATTAACCTTGAAAAACTGCACCTGTCTTTCTTTTTCATATTAACCATACAGAAATGATCTACTATTGCAAATAGAAACATTTTATTAATAAGTTTTAAATGTTTTTGACTATTTTTATCTGATCAAAACTGCATTTTTTTTTCATATCAATCATGCAGAAAAGATCTACCATTGCAAATGGAGAAATTTTACAATTTTTAACGTTGTAAGTAGGGCGCCACAAAATGGTGTAGGCGAAATCAAATGTTAAAAGGGTTGCTAAATTAGTCTTTAAGTTTTAAAGGATCCTTGACTAATTTTTTATCTGATCCTCTCAAAAAATGAATACTTTTTAGCTTTATTAACCATTCTGTAATCTTTTTTTTGCTTTTTGCTTTTCGCTTGTACTTATTTTCTCGAAATAAAACCATGATATATTTTCTACATATAAGACTTACATAAAAGTTTTCGAAGCTGAAAATGAAGTTTTCAGATTTATTTTGAAAATTAATGGCAGTGGTGGCTTCTAGACAAATGATACAGTTCAGTTTAATAGCATTGTCATAGACTGAGGCCAAGAGGACAAATTTAGTCTTTTGTTTAGTTTTTAGTTCTAGCAAAAAGTCGGGCAGGAGTGAAGCCCCCACCATCCCTGTAGCATCGTGGGCGTCTTTTCAGTGTTTTCAGATTTTGTAAGAATTTCTTAAGTCTTTTCACAACTATTTTTTTTAATCAATTCACCCTAAGCAAGGTGATAATACCATTAAGACACAAGGAGATACTGCGAGTGTAAGAGAATAAGGAGACTTTAGAAGGAACCAGAAACCCAACCACAAACAAGAAACAAGCGATAAACTTCTAATCCTGGTTAAAATACAGAGGAGGAGTGTGAACCGGGCGATAGACGAACATATATCACGGTAATTGGGATTGTTTCAGATCGCTTGATTTTTAAACGATATTTTTTTTTTCTTTTTCTAAATCGAGTGTTTCGTAATAGGCGATAGTCAATACGCAATAGACTAATAACCTCTTTGCTTTCATTGTTACACTCCTAGTTACGCAATAATTTTTAGCGTCGTTCGTCTATGTATTGATTTTGCTGCCACATCTGGTCTGGTGCTTCTGGTATGTATCTAGAGATTCTTGACAAAATTTAAAGCAGATTAGTCCTGACTTGGCATCTCAACTTTAGTCACATTTTCCACCGCCGTGACATAGCTTTCCAGTAACCTTTCTATAAATATTTTCATGGTAACTGTTCTGATGAGATTTCCTCTTTGCTACCTAGACTTTATGAATTTAAGCGCAGTACTAGATTAGTAGCTACGCCTCATTATTTTACACTTGAAATTGTTAAATATAACCGCTTCTTCTCCTTCACTTTTCACTTGTGGAAATTTATTCTCGCTTTCGTTTTCTTGCATTCCAGTCATCTTTGATTATAAAAAATTCAAATACAATATCAATCGTTATCTTCTGTTTTCTTAATTCTTGTTCTTTTATTGTCCTTTCTTAATAATGTTTTTCTCAAATTCTTGCGTTTTAGTAACTTTAGGTGCAATAGTTAAAATTTTTTTATCTCAGACTAACTTAAAATCGGGCATCATTGAAGCTAGCTCCTGCGGAGGGCTTTTGATTGGGCCTTCATCACAATAGATAGAGAGGAGTAGATGCGATAGGCAACAATAAACTACAGAACTCAAGATTAAACA